TTTATTTAACTTACCAGTACATTGGAAAAATTCATCATCAAATATTTTTAAGGTAAATTTATTCAAATTTTTTATATTTCAATTTATATAAATTATATGAATCAAGATAAAAATTTATTTTTGAATGTAAAATATGATTTTTTCATTTATTTTTTTGTAGTATTGAAGAAAAGAGAATTATATATATATAAAGTATATAAAGTTATGTAATAAAATTCAATTCATATATTGGATTAAATTTAAAACAATGTGAAAAAGAAATTAATCATATTTATCATAAAAAATAATTTAATTTTTTTAAATTAATATTTTTTCAAAATGATAAAATCCATAACATTAGAGTTAAGACCCAGACTTCAAATATGTAATGCTTTTATTCATTTAAATAAAAAAGTAAATTTAACAGAAATTAAAATAAAACTTTCAAAGGAAAGTATAGAAATAACAATAGAAAATAATACAGTAACTTTTTTAACAAAATTTGTAAAATTAATACCAGATTCATTATCAACTTTAAACATAACAAAGAATTGGATTTGTTTTCGAGCTCAAATTGTATCTGATCCTATTCTTGGATCTTCCAAAACACAAATAATTACCAATACAACAATAAATAACAATTTTTTAAAAAATTCTGTAAAAAATACTGAATTATTTAATGCAAACAAGTGTAATATAATGTGTAGTTGCTGCAAAAATATTCTTTCTAAAGATATACATATTAAAAGAATTTTGCCTGTGCCAAATATGAATTATGATCCAGATGAATGGTTTTGTTGTAAACATAATCATAAAAATATTATACATAATTTAATTCCATTACAATCTGATATCTTTTATGGATCATTATTTTTTATCATTCATACAAGTTTGTTTAATCATCATTTAAAAATAAAAGAAAATGCTGTGATTTGTAATAGATGTTTACAATATATAGGAAAAATTCATACCGATACTTCATTTAAATTATGGAGTTGTGCTGTGGATTATAATTTATTAAATAATTCAGAAATAAAAAATGCAACAGATCCCTTTAATGATTTTTTGCTTGCTATTAAAACTTCAATGACTGGTATTTTTGGTGAAGAAATAATTTTGCAATGTTTTATGGGAAAAGAAACTCACTCTCTCATTTTAAAACCAATGGATTGGCATTTAAATTTAATGATTGAACCTAAGGAAATTTTGTATAATAATGTTATAAATTTGCAAAAAGTATCAGTTGTAAAAGTATTATATAAATATGAGACAAATAAAAATACTTCTAATTCTATAAATAAATCATATTGTGAAGTAAGTTTTTTAGTAATAAAAGCAGGTTTGAAACATTTATTAACATCAACAAAACGATTTCCACAACTTCATAGGGTTGCTATTGATTGCTATATTGGACATATATATTTAGAAAATTCTATAAACAATAGTTAATCATATTTTTTATATTTTTTATATTTTTAAAATATTGAAAATTCTAATATTTGTATAATCTTTGTATATTTTTAATTCATTTCTATGTAAAAAATTTTATACTAAATATGCATGTATTATTTTGATGCATGAATAAAGCTTTATTTTATCAAAAATTTACATATTTATTTGTATATTACATATTATATTGAATAGGAATATTTTACAATGTTGATTCATATATTTATTCATATATTTGCTAATTGTGATTAGCAAAGTTAAAATTATTATTATAGTAAAAATTAGAATTATAAATTATGATTTTATTTATATTAATATAAATATTTAAATATAATAACTTAATTAAATAAAATTAATCTCTTTGAGATATTCTAATATTAATACTCTGTGGTTAATTAAAAAAAAATAAAATAAAATAAAAAAAATATGAAAAATATTTATAAGTATTTACAGCATGTAAATGCTATGAATTTATATTCAATGAAAATTAAAAATAAACAATTATATACATAAATATAAAAAAAATCTACATTATATATTATTTTTACAATTATGAATACAATTATCCAATTTTTATATTTATTAATTAAGTTTTATATATTATAAAATGATTATTTAAAAATATTCGAAGTTAAATGTTCAAATATACATATAATTATGGAATAAAAAAAAGTCTTTATGTAATTATATTTAATCATTAATGATACCTAGAAAAAATATACTATGAAAAGTATTATCAGAAATAGCATTTACTCTATCATTATTTAATTAAATTTTCTTATTTATATTATATTATATTAT